TGCTGCAGTACCGTTTCCTGCGTCTCACGGCCCATTTGATGCTCCAACACGTGCTGCTGAAAGGCGCGGGCGCGAAGGAGCGCCTTGGCGGCCTCGCGGCCGTCGCCAAGGCCGCGGTGAACGCGATAGAGCAGCAACGCACAGTTCACCCGCTCGACAGAAAAGCCCACCTCCTCTTGCGTTTCAGGCTCCTTGATGAACGCCGGGGCTTGCTGAAGCACCTCCACCGCCTTTTCCCCATTCCCAAGGCGCCAATAGAGCATCGCGAGATCCGCGCGGACGGCAAAAAGCGTCGGATCCGTATTGAGCGCGTTGGAGTAGTACTGGACGGACTTTTCGTAGTCGTGCGTGGAGACAAGCACGCGGCCGATGCGCACAGCGAGCTCGCTATTATCGGGATCCATCGCCTTTGCCTTCTCGTACGCCGTGATCGACTTTTCGGGGTCCTGCACGTTGAGGTAAGCCTCGCCGAGCTCGACGTAGCTCTGCGGCGACGGCCGCTCCTTCACCATCTCCTCAAAGCACTGGATGTAGCGCACGGGGTCGTGTTTTTGCGTTAAGTACAGCTTTGCCATCTGGGCCCGCGTGGCGATGTAAAACGCACTCGACGAAGGAACTTGGCGTAGCAGCTCGATGCTTTTGTCGACATTGGTGCGCGCCACCAACATCGACTGCGCGATGGCGATGCGGCCACTCTGGATCGTGTTACTAAACGCCGCGGCGGCCTCGTTCAGGAGCCGGCGCGCCTCCTCGGTATCCCGCATCCGCACGTAGACCTGGGCGAGCTGGATGTAAAGCGTTACGGAATCCGGGACGCTGAGGAGCTCGCGCGAGGATTTCGCGTTCTCGCCGCCCGTACCCGTCGACGTAGATCGCACGGCCGCGCCAGGGCCACCTTTTCCATCGCCGACCCCTTGATTAGCGGTTGAGGACGAGGCGGTGGTGGTGTTTTTCTTGGAAAGCTTCAGCGCCGCAAGTAGGGCGTCGCGCGCGGCCGCGTTCTTGCCGAGCGAGCTCAGCACCATCCCGTGCAGGAGGTTATACCGCGGCTGCTCTTTGATCGAGAAATCGACGCTAAGGGCCTGCTCCAGCGCCTGGCTCGCGAGCTCGAGCTTGCCGACGTACTGGCAGATCTGCGCGGAGAGCAAAAACGTCTCGGAGGAGGGATGCGGCTCCTGCACGAGCTGCTTGATCGTCGTCATCGCCGCGCCGATGTTGCCGGAGACGAACTGCACGCGGCAGAGCATCAAATGCGCCTCGGTGCACCCCGGCACGTAGCGCACGACGAACTCGAGGTGGCGGCGGCACTTCTCGGCGATCGGATCGGTATGGCGAAACGTCGGATCCGGCGGTTCGTTGCGGCAGTGCTCGAGGTAAAACCGCGCGATCCACAGCATCAGCGGGAGATTCAGCCGCGCGTAGAGCTGCAACCCACCGCCGCCGCCCCCCCCTGGGCGGTGCTGCAGCTCCTGCCGCGCGGCCTCGGCGGCCTGGTCGAGGTAAAAGAGCGCCTTCGCCTCGCTCTGCGCGACGCCCCACTGGACCTTTGCGTTGAGCAGGCAAAGCTCCGCGTGGCGCTGCGCGGCGGGGTGGAGTTCGTTGCAGAGCGTGAGTTGCCGCGCCGCCTCGGCGGGGTTCGTGCGGAGGTACACGTGAATAAGCCCCATCAACGGCGCCAGCGAGGCGGTGAGGACCGTGGCTTTTTGAAAAACCTCCTGCGCGGCGACCAAATCGCCACGGTAGAGGTGGCCGTAGCCGACCTCGCAGAGGTAATCGCCGTTGCGGGGGTCTAACCGGCAGGCGAGTTCCATCATCGCGTTCGTAAGCTCCAGCAGCTCGGGTTGCCCGTTCGCGAGCCGCGCGAAGGCCTGCGCGTACTCGTAAAGCAACGGCGCGTTGCGGGGCTCCTTGACCTGGAGGCTTTCCCACAGCCGTCGGAGGTAAAGCGTGGCGGCCTCCGGGCGGGAATCCTTCACGAGCGCGTGGAGCGCCTGCAGGAGGAGCGCCGCGGTGTTATCCGGCTCCGCCGCGAGAACGGTTTGCGTCACCGCGAGCATTTGCTCCCAATCCTCCCCTTGCAGAAGCAGCCGCGCCTTCACGACGAGCGCGGGGGCGAAGTTCGGGTAGCCGACGATTACCTTGTTGATGAGCTCCAACGCCTGAGTGAATTGGTGTTTGCGCTCGAGGTAGTCGACGCGGCCGAAGGCGGCGGCGAGGTCGAGCCGCCCGAGCTCCCCTTCTAGGCTGAGCACACGTTGAAAGAGCGCGCCGCACTTCTCGAGCAGCGCGCCGCGATCGGTGCTGAGATCCACCCACGCCTTGACGGTGTTGAGGTTGGTGTACTCGTCGCGATGCCCCTCCGTGAGGGATTCGGAGATTTTCGTCGCCAACACCTCCCTCGCCGTGTGGGCGTCGCCTGCCGCCCACGACAGGAGTGCGGCGTGCACCCAACCATCCACGTCCTTGGAATGCCGGTCATCCTGCATGCGCAGATCCGTACTCGTGAGCTCGTCTTGGCTTTGATTCTTTTTATGGATTAACCATATCCCCATGAGAGCGGGGACCGCGACCTGCCGATTCGATTCTAACGCCTTGTACTCCCGTAGGGCTTCGCCCTGAAGGCCCTGCTGAGCGTAGCAGAGCGCACGCCACACCCGGAAAAGACGGTCGTCGGTCGCGGAGACAATCGAAGTACACAGCTCCTCGGCGTGATGCCAGTAGTTCTCACGGACGTAGAACAGAAGCTGGGCGAAGTTCTTGCGAACGGTGTTCTCCGACATTTTTATCGCTCACTCTTGCTACCTAAACCTGCACTTTGCTTTTCTTTCTCTTTTTTTTTTTATGGTAGCTGAAGAGGACCACTCTGATAGAAAGAGAAGGGCCCAGCACACCTCACCAGAACAAAAGACTCAAATCTAATTAACCGCAAAGAGTGGAAAGGAGGATGTAGACAAGGGATAGTAAATGACATTCTATCAATAATAATGAATTCATATGAAAAAGAGGCGCCCAAAACAACGTATTGAGACGGATCCAACAAATAATTGTTATTTGAAACAAAACAATCCAAGTTTCTATTCTCCACTCCCTCATACCTAGAGAAGACTGTGACTTCCTCCCCTTCCCCCCACACGATTCCCCAATCTTTACCATCACCTTTCTTACTACCCCAGTATGGGAAGGGGAGCTCTCTTCAGATGCACTGCACGGTGCACTAACGAAATCTATTCATCCGACCACCCCTCCATGCAGGAAGGGAAGACTCAGATTGAAGGGCTAACTTCAAAGACTTTGATATCATCATGCCGAGAGTTTCTGTGCCAACCCCTTCTTCCTGCGGGCAGTAAAATCCACATTGACTCGCTAAATACACATATGCACACACACATACATTTATACCCATACCGAACACCCCCCTATTTACTTCTCATTCCCTACGTCGAAAATGGATCTTTGATGTGTTTTGTTCAGAAAAGGTCAAGCCAGACGCTCACCGAGGCGGGCATCGTTTGAGGCGGTCTTTCCTGAGGAAATTCCATCATTCTGACCAACACTATCGGGTTGCCCACCATCGATATAGGAAATAGAAGGGAGCGCACCGCGTGCTGAGAACGAGCAACAATCTTCGCCACTTTATATCACAAATGAGAGCAACAACCACCACCCAATGCGGAAGAGCGCATTCCAATAGCGCAAGCACCCGAAGCCACAGACGGCGCGGGGGAGCGGGAAGCTCCATCGCACCTTCTGCTCGTAGCACTCGAGCCTTTTCACTACCGAACACCACTCCTCTTAGCTGCGAGGTAGAGCTTTTCATTTGCTTACACAAGTGCGTTCAGGGCGCATTGACTGACACCTGGCTTCTTCATAGCCCTTTCCCCCCACACGATTCCCCAATCTTTACCATCACCTTTCTTACTACCCCAGTATGGGAAGGGGAGCTCTCTTCAGATGCACTGCACGGTGCACTAACGAAATCTATTCATCCGACCACCCCTCCATGCAGGAAGGGAAGACTCAGATTGAAGGGCTAACTTCAAAGACTTTGATATCATCATGCCGAGAGTTTCTGTGCCAACCCCTTCTTCCTGCGGGCAGTAAAATCCACATTGACTCGCTAAATACACACGCACATAAATATACATAGATAGGCAAGCAGAGAAAGACCCATTTTTGTGCCTTCACTCGCCACTTTCTTTTCAATATCGTGAGAACGATGAGTTAAATATCTGTTCACCGCATATCAGACTCATCCTCACACCGCACATCTCTGAACTAATCTAGGCTAGTTGTAAAACCTTCTTCGGATAAGAACAAAAAGCGCAAAACGGTAGGAATAAAGGAACAATTGTTCTCTATTTTTCCATAAAAATAACCCTCTTCCTTTCCAAAAAAACGCCACATAGTTAAAAATATAAGCTTTCATAACATCGAGAGTGAAGTGAACACCTTTCAAACTGAACCAAGACTGCTTTTTCCTTTCTTCCCCCTTCTTTAGATATCTATCTCTCTCTCTCTATATATATATATAGATATAACTTATGGCCATCTTCGTGAATAGAGTCTGTTGCTTTTCCTCCATATATGTAGAGATCACTGCGAAGAAATTTGACAACAGGGTCTTGTTAAAGCATTAGCCAAATAAGTTTTTTTTTAAACACAGACGGGGAGGAACAACTTCAACGTACACAGATAGGACATTAAAACTAAATAAATCATAAATAAATACAGTCTACTAAAGAAAATAAACACACATAACGATAAAAATAAGGCAGTACCCAATGAGGAGAGAACGTAGTGGAATAGGCAATTCAATATACATTGCTTTTGTAGGCCTTTTCTTTTAGGTTAGAAAAGTTTCCCTCAGGTTTTTTCTACGAAAATCCCACAGTTTTCATTTTTGAAAGCTGCAAGGGGGAAACAAACAAAAAAAGAATAAGAGTTAATATACATATTGGCATTTACACATCTTGTTCCATCCGCAGGTGAGATTCTTTTTCTCGATTTTGTCCTTTGTTAAATGTTTGGGACCCTTCCCTACTCTTCTTCACGATCGAGCCGTGAAAAAACAACTCCGCATCAGCCGTGAGGTTAGAAATCCGTCGTACTGAACTGTGATCATCGGCGATTTCGTGCGTTTCGCGGTGAGCGGCCTGCGGCCCCGCGCGCTCCCCAAAATCGGCTGCGCGGGAGAAAACGCCGTGCTCGGGCGATTGAATTCGTTTCGCGTTTCGCCGCATCTTTTTTTGATTTCGTCGTGGAGCGAGTAGCCCTTCGCGCGGCGCTCGTCGACCGAATCCGCCCAATCCTCCATCGTTCGAATCGCGCGCACCCCTCCTTTCGACGCCGCCGTCTCCCCACCCTCGATCGGGTCGCCCTCCACGACGATTCCCTCGCGACCGCCGCTCAGGGGATGGGCGTGCGGCTGCAGACTTCTCAACCTCGCCTCCAGCGCGCGAGTGCGTTTCTCCTCGCGGTGGTTGGCGTCCAACCAAAACAACACCTCCCGCCGCGCGCGCTCCTTTTGGAGGAGCGCCTGCCGCAGCCTCTCCTGGGATTCCCCCCCTTCCCCGTCCTTCTCCACCGCGCTGGTGGTGGTTGCGGTTCGGAGGGTGGATCGTAACGAAACGGGAGGCCACGCCATCATCCCCAGCGTCATGCGATGAATCAGACAGACCTCCTCGCGGTAGCTCTCCCGCTGTCGAACCTGCTTCGCCATCTGCGCGTAGTAATCGTCGACGAGCTGGCGGAGGGCGTCGTCGAGGCCGGGGTCGAAATCCCCGTCATCCCCTCCCCCTCCTCCTCCCGCCGTGGATCCCTGCCGCCCAACCAACGGCAACACCCGGGCGAGATACCGCCGACGAAAGGCCTCCCGTATGCGATGCGGGATCGCGAGGAGCTGCTGAAACCGCGCGTCGTCGCCCCCGTTTCCCCCCCGCGACGAGGCCGACGAGGAGGCGGAGGACGACGACGAAAACCGCCCCCCGCGCAACGCGCGCAGGCAGCCGAGTGGGGTGAACTTCTCGCGCCCGGCGTGGATCACCAAGGAGGTCGCGTTCGCGAGCAAGCTGTGGAGGTGT